GTGCGTATTGTTTATTTGTATATGTACATATATATATATATACATATATATATATACATATATATAGAGACTAGGCTATTTAATAATATAATTAGTATATTTATTTATTTATTTATTTTATTTTATTTACTTTTTTATTTATCTTATTTATTTTATTTATTTTATTTATTTATTTATTTGATGCAGCATACTTAGATTAATTGTGTGTTCTCCTTACTAGTCTACCCCTACCAAATTAATTAATTAATTTAATTAATTAACTAATTAATTAATTAATTAATATATTTATTTATTTATTTATTTATTTATTTATTTAATGCAGCTTACTTAGACTCCGGGAAGGCCCTCCCAAGTGCAGCAGAGCCGCAAGAAGAAGACAATTCGACAGAGTCTACATCCCTCTCAGGTATTTGTTTATTTAATTTAATTTAATTTAATTTAATTTATTTAATTTAATTAATTTATTTAATTTAATTTAATTTATTTAATTAATTTATTTACTTTGTTTAATTTATTTTATTTATTTATTTATTTAGTTAACTGGTTTGATTTGTGTATTTTGTTTAATTACTTTATTTGCTTTTTTATCTGTTTTATTTATTTATTATTTATTTATTTATTTATTTATTATTTATTTTTATTTATTTTATTTATTTTATTTATTTATTTTTTATTTGTTTGTCATTACCAGCATTGCTTTCAGGTGTTTGTTTATTTAGTTATTTATTTTTTAATTTTATTTATTTATTTCTTTACTTTATTTAATTACTGTATTTGTTTATTTGTTTGTTTATTACAAAACAGCGATTAGGTTAATAAGGGTTTATAAGGGTTTACAAGGGTTTATGAGGGTTTACAAGGGTTTATTAGGGTTTATTAGGGTTTATGAGGGTTTGATGCATAAGGGTTTATTAGGGTTTATTTGGGTTTGATGCATAAGGGATTATGAGGGTTTAATGTATAAGGGTTTATTAGGGTTTATGAGGGTTTGTGAGGGTTTGTGAGGGTTTATGAGGGTTTATTAGGGTTTATTAGGGTTTACAAGGGTTAATTAGGGTTTATTAGGGTTTATGAGGGTTTGATGCAGATGAAGAAGACTACCGATGTTTGTCTGCATGCGGCTATAAATCTTTTGAAGATTTAATGGCATCCAAATGCCTCGTTAAATGCAGCTGCATGCAGGTAAACCCTAAACCCTAAACCCTAAACCCTAAACCCTAATGAGCTCTAATAAACCCTAATAAACCCTAATAAACCCTAATTAACCCCTATAAACCATAATAAACCCTAGTAAACCCTTACAAACCCTTATATATATATATATATATATATATATATAAACCCTTATAAACCCCTATAAGCACTTGTAAACCCTAAACCCTTGTTTTTTTTATTCAGGAGATTGTTAATTGTTGTTTTTCTCTAAACCCTAAACCCTAAACCCTAAACCCTTGTGTTTTGTTCAGGATATAGTAAATTCTTCTTGTTTTTCAACCTGCGCTGACTCAACTCGTGCTGCAGTTGAAGAAGCAGCAGCAGATGCATGCAGAGAAGAAGAAGCTAGACGAAAGAAGAAGCAGCAGAGGGTTTGAATTATATATTTTAATTATTGTTAATCACGCAACAAACACATTTCAAGCATTAACCAGCACTAGCTTCATTAACACCTATGCATGTGCTGCTGCTGCTCCTCCAGCAGCACCTGCAGCAGCAGCAGCAGCAGCTGCAGCAGGTGGTGCTGCTGCTGCAGCGCTGGCACCTGCTAATGCAGCAGCAGCAGCAGCTGCTGCTGCTGCTCTCGTTATAGTGCTGCGGCTACAGGTGCAGCTGCTGCAGCTGCTTCTGCTGCAGCCGCTGCTGCAGCTTACTGCTGCTTTTGCTGCTATTTCTGCTGCAGTTTCTGCTGCAGCCGCTGCTGCAGTTTTTGCTGCAGCTGTTGCAGTTTATACTGCAGCAGCTGCTGCTGCAGCAGTTTTTGCTGCTGCTGCTGCAGATCTTGCTGCAGCAGCAGCAGCATGTATTTGTGTTAATCGCGTGAAGTTTTTGTTGTTTCTGCTGCTGCTGCTGCTCGTTTTTTTATGTCTGCGTCTCCTGCTGCTGCTGCTGCAAACAGTCAAAACAAAATAAAATAGTAATAGATTAACTAATTAATTTAATAAATAACTATATAAAATAAATATATATA